TGGTTTTTTTCTCTGGTACCAGGAATTGAACTCAAGACTTTGCACTTGCCAGGCAGGCGCTGTGCCGCTGAGCTAAATCCACAGCCCCATTGTTACTTAATCCTTGTACCAACTCTATGAGGTAGGTACCACCATTATCATCATTTCTTTGTTGGGGAAACTGAACCAGAGATAAGTAAGTAACAGCTAAAGGCAGCATAGTAGTGGTGATGCCAACATTTGAAACTAGCTGGTCAAGACTAAGAGCTGCTGGTCTTAACCACTTATTCTAGGGGCTGCCTTTCTTCTGTATAAAAAATGAACAGGATCTGGGCGTGGTGTAATCCCAGGTACTTGAAAGGCTGAGGCAGGAAGATTGCAAGTTTGAGGGCAACCTGAAGAACTTAGTGAGACCCTGTCTCAAAAAATAAAAGGAGCTGGGTATAATTCCATGGTAGAGTGTGTGCCCAGCATGTGCAAGGGCCTGAACTTAATCTGTAGCACCTAAAAAATGGTCATATTAAGCATAATATTAATACAAACAAAGATTGTATCACTCCTCTTCAAAGCTTCTGATAAATTCCCAATTCAATTAGAATAAAGCCCATTCCTTTCCATAGCCTGGTGAGCTGGCCCAGTGTACTCCTCCTACTTGATCTTTTTGTTTGTTTGTTTGTTTGTTTGTGTTGTTTCTAGGAACCGAACTCATGACCTCGCGCTTCCCAGGCAGGCACTGTGCCACTGAGCTAAATCCCCAGCCCCTCCTACTTGACCTTGTACCATTTTCTTCCTACTTCTCTATGTCCCAGCTACTCTGGTCTTTCTCTTCTTGGAACCTGCCAAGCTTCCTTCTGCTTCATGATCTGCTTCACTTGCTCTTGGTTCTTCCCGGAGTGGACTCTCCTCGATCTGCCTATGGCTAGCTTCTCCACATCATTCCAATGGCACCTTAGAAAGGCCTTTCCTGCCCCCTTGTCTACAATAGGTTCTTCTAACTCATCTTGTTTTGTTTCCCTCATAGTCTTTAACACACTCTGACATTATCTTATCTATTTATCCACTTACTTATTATATATCTTCTCTCATATTAGCATTAACATAAAAGCACAGGTGCAACAGCGGTGCGTGCCTATAATCCCAGCACTCTGGGAGGTGAAGGCAGGAGAACTGTGAGTTCGAGCCCAGCCTCGGCAACTTACGTACAGCTTGACTCAAAATAAAAAACAAGAAGGGTTGGGGATGTATTTCAGTGGTACAGTGCTTCTGGATTCTAAAAAACAAAACCAAACCATTTCCATTGCCCACGGATGTTTGTTGTATTTTCTTCTAGTTCAATGGTCATTTTATTGTTTTTATTTATATTTCTTTGATGAGACACAACTTTTTTCATTATGTTTATCAGTTGTTTGTGGCTCTTACTTTGACTTCGATCATCCTGTGCCTACAGTGTTTGACTCTACATTCAGGTCTGTGTTCTCTGTGATGTGATCTCTGAAAGGTCTTCCTCGATCTCCTTTCTCTAAAGCACTTCGGGAGGTACCATCCCACTCCTTGCATTTTCTATCAGTTCACCTGCTGGATCTCCTACAGAGAACACTGCATGTTTTATAATGACATTGTTTACTTGTTGTTTATCTATCAACCATTTGTATCTACAGCTCTCTGGGATAATGTAAAGTTTGGAGGGGAAGTAATCTTGTCTGTCTTCATCATCACTGTATTTCTAATAATTAAAACAATGTCTGGAATATACTAAGACTAAGGAATTATTACATATCTTTCGCATCAATGAATCAAAGCACTCAAAATTGAAATACAGGTAACGTGCTAAATCTCTTGTTCAAGAATTATTTTCATAAAGCTTTTAGTTTAAGGTAAAGTTAGAGCTCACTGACATTCTGTTGTATTCCTTTTTAGTGTCCATACCTGATTGTTGGGCTTGGTGGATAAGCATTTTCCAAAGTAAAGAGTTTCTGTAACGCAAAGGCTATTACACGCTGGCCCATCAATAACTCCAGTCTTGTACTTGTCACACTAAAAACCGAGAAATAAAGACACAGTTAATAAAAATGTTCCTAAGAAGAAACATCTGGCAAAGACAAAGTTCCCTCCTGGGGAGAGCTCAGGCTTTGGATTTACACAGATCTGGATTTGAATCCAAGCTCTGATTCTAACTGGCTCTGTGATAAGGTTCACTGCTCCTGGGATGTGCACAGTATTCTGAAACCATTTTTCCCATTTAACATCATCTTCACTCTCTCTAAGAACAGAGGCTTTCTGCCCCACCCCTTTGTGTTATTGTAGTCTGAGCCCAAGGCCTCTGCTCAGAGCTATACCCCCAGCCATTTTTAAAATTTTAAATTGCTAAGTTGCCCGGGCAAGGTCTGAACTTGTGATCCTTCTGTCTCAGTGTTGAGATTACAGGTGAGCCCTCAACACCCAGTTGAAGCACTCTTTACAACAAAAATGACCTTGATTTTAAAATAAATTTAAAGGAGCCGGGTGCGGTGGCGCATGCCTGTAATCCCAGCACTCGGGAGGCTGAGGCAGGAGGATCACTGCAAGTTTGAGACCAGCCTAGGCTATAAAGTGAGCTTAAGGCCAGCCTGAACTGCAGAGAGAGACCCTGTCTCAAAAAGACAATAAATAAATAAATAAATAAATTTAAAGGTTTAAGATAACACAACAATTTAAAACAACAAAATAAAGTTGTATCTGCTATTTTTTTCATCCTTGAGATCACACAAAGCAAGAAAAGGAGAAAATGAATGTAAATTCCCTTTGATAAATACGGTATCATTTAACCATTGAGGCTAGCCTGGGCTACATACTGAGTTCAAGGCCAGCCTGAATCGCACAGCAAGACTCTGTCTCAAAAAATAAAACAAAAATAAACAGGAAATAACACAAGAATGAATAATAATCAAAAAATAGAAGCAAGAAATCTATACAGTAAATCTGTAATAATTGGGAATGCTGGGCACATTCGCACCTGCCTATAAACTTAGCTACTCAGGAGGGTGAAGTAGAAGCATGGTGATTTCAAGGCCAGCCTGGGCGACTTGGTGCGACCCTGACTCAAATGTTTTTTTGAGACAGAGTCTTGCTATGCAGTTCAGGCTGGCCCCAAACTAGCAGTGATCCTCCTGCCTCAGTCCGCTGAATGCTGGGATTGCAGGCCTGCACCATCATGCCCAGCCCCAGGCCTCAAATTTAAAAACAAAGTAGAAAGGGCTAGGGATGTTGCTTAGTACCTCTGGGGCTCCATCTCCCGCACTGAGAAAGGAAAAGAAGGAGGGAAAGAAGGAGGAAGAGAAGAGTATAAGGAATGGAATAAAGAGTGCAAATGTTAAAGAAATTTTCCGGAAAAAGTGTTGCCATGAAGCAGACTGAACATATTGTGTGAGTAAAAAGAATTCACTGAAACAGTTTAAAATAAGACTTCAAAGCAGAAGAAATGCTGAGGAAACAGAAGGAAATGGATAACAAGCTAACGGAATTTATTTATTTATTTTTATTTTTTAGTCTTTTTGAAACAGGGTCTTGCTATGCAGTTCAGGCTGGCCTTGAGTTTACTTTGTAGCCCAGGCTGGCCTCGAACTTGCAACAATCCTCCTGCTTCAGCCTCCCGAGTGCAGGGATTACAGGTGTGCACCACCATGCCCTGCAAGCTAACAGGATTTATTTGTTTATTTATTTATTTATTGGTTTTGGCTTTTTTCCGGCACCGGGAATCGAACTCACGACCTCGTGCTTGCCAGCTGGGCGCTGTACTGCTGAGCTAAATCCCCAGCCGCCAAGCTAACGGAATTTAGAAGGAAAAAATAAGCAAAAAGTCTTAGAAATAAAAGTGACATTGTAAATGGTGAAGGGAAGGAAGAAGAAAAAAGGATAAAAATATAATATGGCTGATGAGGACTAGATTGAGGAAAGTAAGCAAAATGAAATGGAAATTAAAAGAAAATGAATTTGAGATAAATTTATAGACACAGAAGAGAGAAGATATCCAGTATGTCCATATAAGGGAGAACAGGAGTAAGTGGAAAAGAAAAAAAAATTCCAAGTAGAATTCAAGGACACTTCATGTAAATGAAAGAATACTTGAATCTACAGGTAGAAAGGACATATACCATTCCAAGAAAACCTGGTGCTGGATGACCTCTATCACATATCCCTTTGATATTTACTGAACTTCAAAAATAAATTATCCTTTGAGCATCCAGGCAAAAAGATCAAGGCATATTTAAGGGCAAACAAATCAGATTAACATCAGATTTCTCCACAGCCACATCCAGGGGAAGACAATAGTAGTAAAACGCCGCTGAAGTCCTTGGGAAAGGGCGTGTGACTTGCCCGTGTCTTGGCTTTCTTGTTTATAAATGACAAATGTTGACAGCATTTGATTTATGGCATCACTATGATTAAATGGCATAATAAGTACAGAAAGCCTAAAGACTCAATAATAGGTATTGTTTTGTTTTGTTTTGTTTCCGGTACCGGGAATCGAACTCACGACCTTGTGCTTGCCAGGCAGGCGCTGTGCCACTGAGCTAAACTCCCAGCCCCGGTATTCTTATTTTATACAGCTGAACTTTCAAGTAAAAGGTATTACATGTTTCTGAACTAGCTTTTTTTTTTTTTTTTTTGGCATGACAGGGTCTCACTATGTAGTTCAGGCTGGCCTTAAACTCATTATGTAGTCCAGGCTGTCCTCAAATGCATGCAATCCTCCTGCCTCAGCCTTCTCAAATGCTGGGATTACAGGCATGCACCCATGCCTGGCTAACTAGCATCTCTTGAAGAAATTAGTAATTTGAATTCAAACATGGAAGCCTAGGGGGATTGATACAGTACACTTCTGGGTGCGGCTGGATGGGCCAAGGAGGTGTGATGCCTTGGGGTCTAATCTGACCCCTGGCCCTTTCCTCGCTGCGCTGTTCCCCTGCTCTACTCCCCAGCTACCTCGGCCTCCGCAGCTCTCCTTTACCACACTTTCTGCCACGCTGTTTCCGCTTCAGAGCCAGCTAAGGACGGACGGAATCCTCTGAAACCAAGCAAATAAGCCTCCCTGCCTTCAATTATATATGTTAGGAATTTGGTCCCAGCAAGGAAAAGCTGACCAATACAAGGGCTGATCAGGGGAAAGGGAGGTGGTAAAAATAAACATGATGAGGAAAGAACAGGGTAGTGATAATGAAAAGTACAAACAACTTTATGGCAACACATTCTAAATGAACATTTTTTTTTTTTTTGGTCTTTTGGAGACAGGGTCTCACTATGCAGTTCAAGCTGGCCCTGAGCTCACTTTGTAGCCCAGACTGGCCTCTAACTCACAAGGATCCTCCTGCCTCAGCCTCCCAAGTGCTGGGATTACAGGCGTGTGCCACCATGCCTGCCTAAATGAACAATTTTTAAAACAAAATTATAAATAATAAAAAACAATGCCAGAAGTAATAGCAAAATTGAGTAAGACTAAGAAAAAATTTAAAAAATTAAACCAATAACCAAAAATCTTTTCCTCCAAAGAAAGCACATCTGGGAGGACAACCTAGCATGTAGTCCCGCTTGTAACAGCAGAAAATGGGGAACAATGTAAACGACCATCAACAGGAGAATGGCTGAAAAAACTCGTCTATTTGCACAATAAAATACTACACAGTCATTAAAATGAAAGAAGTAGGCCCATACACAGCAACATGGAAAAATCTCAATGTTAAGAGGAAAAGTTGCAGAACAGTATGTGTGGTTAGTATCATTTATTAAAACATAGAAATATGCAAAGCAATAAACACTACTGTATTTATTATATATAAGGGGTGGTTAAATTTTTAAATTAAAACAATTATTATACTAAAAGACACATTTCCAAGAGTGATAGGAAGTATTTCTGAAGCAAGGGGGAGTATTCTGAGGGAGAGTAATGGCAATATATCTTTCACTGGAATACTTTTTTTTTTTTTTAAACACAGTCTCACTTATGACTACAGAGGAGAAAGAAAACAGGCTGTTGCTAGACACAGGTGCAAGTCTCTTGGTCCTTCTTTTCAATCCTGGCCTTCCTTCCAGCCGTAACACCTCAGTGAAAGGAGTCACTGGTGAGGAGGTAATATGCTATTTTTGACAACCCTTAGGCTGTAACTACTTGTTAGATCCTTCTTGTGTATCTCTGTCTTCCTGAGAAACCACTTTGAAGATACCACCATGTATTACAGCAGGCACTGGTATTTTCCTACTAATCTGTCCATAACTCTGTAATGTTTGTATTGTTCCTATCCTATTTCGTAAATGGATGTATGTTTATTACTAGGTGTTTCCTACAACAACCATTGAGAATAGTTAATGATTTTTCAATAGGTCACTCATGTATAGCTCTATTTATTTTCTTTAGAAGCCACTTTGAAGATACCAAAGTATAGCACAACAACTCGATAATCTCCTACCTCTTTTGTCTCTAACTCACTATTATTTGTCTATTTGTTTTCCTGAGAAACTATCTTGTAGATAACAATATGTAAAACAACAACCATTGATAATTTCCTACCACTTTGTCTGTAATTTGGTAAGGCCCCCCCCCCCATTATTATGTTATCCTTCTTTTACTCTTTAAAAAAAAGAAAGAAAGAAAGAAAGAAACACAGTCTCACTAAGTAGTCCAGGCTGGCCTTGAACTCACTATGTAGCCCAGGCTGGCTTTGAACTTGTGGTGATCCTCTGGCCTCAGCCTCCTGAGCGCTGGTATTACAGGTGTGTGCCACCATGGTCAGCTGTAATGAATTTTTTTTGTTTGTTTAAAAATTCACTGCATTTATTGATCACCCCTCACTGGCCAACTGTTTATGGAAACTTTTGTTAAATAAAAACATCATGGTATTCACCAGATCTGGTACCATGCAACTTCTGGCTCTTTCCCAAAGTTAAAATGACTATGAAAGGTGAATATTTGTAATTACTTCAGGATACTGAAGCAGCTATAATAGTGCCACTAAAGACACTCATGAAAAAGGGCTTCTAGAAGTGGTTCAGAAAGTGACAAG